TTGAGACCAGCCTGGCTAACATGGTGAAACCTCATCTCTATTAAAAATACAAAAATTAGCCAGGCGTGGTGGCACATGCCTATAATCCCAGCTACTTGGGAGGCTGAGGCAGGAGAATCACTTGAACTGGGGAGGTGGAGGTTGCAGTGAGCCCAGATCGTGCCACTGCATTCCAGCCTGGGTGACAGAGCAAGTCTCAAAAAAAAGTTCAAAACACAGCCAGCTGTGGTGCCACATGCCTGTAGCCCTAGCTACTTGAGAGGCTGAGCCAGGAGGATTGCTTGAGTCCAGGAGTTTGAGGTTGCAGTGAGCCGTGATCGCACCACTGTACTCCAGGCTGAGTGACAGAGGGAGACGCTGCATCTTAGGGAAAAAAAAGCAAGAAGTGACAACATGTGGTCTGCCTGATACGATATATACTTTAAAGATAAAGAACATGTAAAAGAATGAAAACAATGTAACGGAATGGAAAATGTATAAAATGCAAGCATCAATTGTAAGAAAGCTGGAATAGAAATATTAGTCTTTAGTACAGGGAATATTCCAAAATATAAAAAGGGACATTTCATATAAAAAAAAGGACCAATTCATCAAGAATATCAAACAATTCTCAATGTGTGTGTACTTGATTACAGAAAATCAAAAATGAAGTAAATTAATAGAACCAAAAGCATACATAGACAAATGCACAATAGCGATGGGTTATTAAGACACCGTCACCTCAGTAACCCACAGAACAAGCAAGCCAAAGATGAGCGAGAATCCAGCAGCCTTGAGCCACACTGGCCATCTCATCCACACTGACGTTTCCAGAACACTGTGCCCCACGGCAGCAGCATACACACTCTTCAAGTGCACACTGAACATTTTCCAAAACAGGCCACATGCTAGGCTATAAATTAAGTCTCCACAAAATTTAAAAAGCTGTAAGTTATACAGAGTGTGTTCTCTAACTGCAACAGAGCTCAATTAGAAATCCATACCAACAAGGTACAAGACACCTGAAGAGTACTCAACATTTGAAAAATTAAACGACACATTTAGGGGTCAAACTCGGGGGTCAAACAGGTAACCAAGGAGACAGAGGAAAACATTTTTAACTAAACGGTTCTAAAAATGCAACTTGCCAATATGTGCGAGACGAGGTTAATGTCATGCTTAGAGAAAACTCTGCAGCTCTAAGTGCTCACGTCAGGAAAGAAGGAAGGTCTAAACCCACTGATCTAAGATTCCACTTTGAGAATCTAGAAAACAACAACACCAGCAACAAATGAAACCCCAGGAAGCAGAAGAAAGGACGTAAGGAAGAGTGAAAACAGGAAAAAGAATCAGTAAAATGAAGGTTGGTTATTTGAAAAGATCAAAAACATTGATAAAGCTCTGGCTAGACTGATCAAGGAAAAAAAAATCCACAAATGACTAATATCAGGAATGAAAGATGAGGCATCCCTTCAGATACTACAGACAGCAGAAGAATAAAATAATATTATTAAGAACTTCATGAAATTACATTTGACCACTTTGATGAAATGGAAACATTTATTGAAGGTCACAACTTGCCAAAATTTACACAGAAAAATAAAATTGAACTAGTTTATATCTATTAAAGTTGTTGAATTAATAATTGGAAGCCTTCTACAAAGAACATACTTCACCCAGATGGTGTTACTGATGAACTCCCTCAAACATTTAAGAATAAAATAACACCGATCTTAATCACATCAGAAAAAAGGAGAAACACTTGTCAGCTCATTTTCTAAGTCAACTTTTTGTCCTGTACCAAAACTGGACAAAGATATTACAAGAAAGGAAACCTACAGGCCGGGTACGGTGGCTTATGCCTGTAATCCCAGCACTTCGAGAGACAAAGGCAGGGGGACTGCCTAAGGTCAGGAGTTCAAGACCAGTCTGG